AAAAGTGTAACTCTAGGCAAGTTATTTAATTCTGCATGCTTCAGTTTCTCATATATAAAATGGAGGTGATAATATCTATCTTACAGATTTGTTGTGAGGATGAAATGATCCAATATTTGTGAAGCATTCAGAGTGATGCCTGGTACAGAATCAGTGATATGGAAATGTTATTATTATTATTATTATTATTATTATTATTACTATTATTATTCCATAGAAATACTTCTGTTCAATAAAGGAGCCACATTTCTACAATGTATATTAAAATGCTCAGCACTGCTTTAGAAGGGAAGCACAAAAAAATAACAACATACTCTTCCTCACTTCTTTTCCGTGTCTTTTTTAAATAGATGGATGACTCACTAGCATTTTCCACTTTTACCTATTCTGCTCCTGGGGTGGGAATGACAAATGAAACTAATTGCAATTCTGAAAACTAAGTCAACATCTGAAGTCAGATGGCAACTCTTTGTTTTATCTTTCCTTCTCACAGAAGAACAATAGTTTCAAATGATAGTTCAAGCATTCTTAGTGAAAACAGACCAGGAACTTGCCAGATGTCTCTGGTTAATTTGCCTGAGTTCCACCAGACATGAAGCATAAGCTTGTAATTTTGCTCTGCCAGTGCTGAAGTTTGCTCAACCATGTCTACATAAACAGAAAATTTAATTTCAGTAAAAGGTTTGACTTCTGGATGCACGGTTGTCTTGGAGCTCAAGGCAGAGTCAGACATGAACAGAAATGCTATCTGAGCTCCTTCTCCCCTTCCTTTGCCACTGATAATCAGTTCTCAGCCTTGAGAAGCACTGTCCTTATTTGGGAACCCATTTGTGGCCCTCCACATATATCACAGTCTGTGCCATCAGACGGATCAAACCCATCCTCTGTGTCCTTTTCACACAGACCTGAGCTATGTGGACCCAGCACTTGGTAACCATTGATGCAATGGGTAAACTCTGTTCAGCTCTGCTTTGGAGAAGCCAGGAAGCCCCACCGTTCTCTCCATCAATCAAGAGACATGTCAAAATAAAGCAGACTGGTGCCCACACTGGCCTGACTTGAGGCCTTTGATCATGTGGCAAGTTCTAGGAACACCAGGATTGTAGCGGGAAAGAAGTGGTTTCAAAGTCAAGAATCTTCATTTCTAATCTTCATTCTGCTACTTCCCATGTAATGTTGGGTAACCCCCCTGCACCTGTTTCCTCACTTCTCCAGGACGTAGGGTAGCGTGGAACAATCTCTAGGTTCTTCTAGTCCTAAGGTCTTCTGGTGTTCACCATAATAAATTTAAATCAGAGTATTTGATATACTGCTGTGCCCTGACTCATCATGATTTATGATACTTCAGCGAGGCTGAGTGCCTATAATAGAAATAGGCCATGTGCCCACAGTTTTGTATGCGTCTGAACATCTAACATGGTCAGTGGGCACAAAATGCTATCACGCCCTGCAGGTTTAATGCACCTTGAGAATGATTCCACTCTGTGCCCACCTCAATCTGACAGGCACAGTCTTATTTTATGAGGCTTTTTCCTAAAACCAAACACAGGTCTTATTTTGTCTATAAAGTTTTCCCAAACTGCACTAGGTCATAACTCCTATCTCAGTGGTTAGTGGTTACAGTAAAAAACACATGATGTAGCACTGCAATCCAATATGGTAGCCATTAGACACAGGTGGCTATTTCATTTTAACATTAATTAAATGAAAAATTCAACTCCTCAGGGGTCCTAGTTCCATTGTCAGTGCTCGACAGCCATGTTTTGCTACTGGTTTCCACATTGGACAACACAGATTACAGAACATTTCCATCCTTGCAGAAAGTTCTGCTGGATAGCACTGAGTTACGATAGAACCTGAGCTTAAAAAGTCAACCCATGGAGCTGCCAGTTAGCTCAGCTGGTTAGAGCGCAGTGCTCATAAATAACACCAAGGTTGCCAGTTCGATCCCCACATAGGCCACTGAGCTGTGCTCTCCACAACTAGATTAAAACAACTACTTGATTTGGAGCTGATGGGTCCTGGAAAAACACCCTGTTCCCCAATAAAAAATTAAAAAAAAAAAACCCTCAACCCTTGAATTTTGTAAGAGACAAATTTTAAGAGTCGCCCAATACCAGAAGAGCATATAAATTCCTCCCTGTAAAACAGGGAAGTCTAAGCATGTGCGCAGTTTGAGCTTCCCCTTCAGGCCCCACAAGTGCACTTGGTGGGTGCAGGACAGCACAGCTGGCGCGAGCAGGCTGCCTGGCAGCTGATGAGGCTCACCTGCCATCTACAGTACATTTGCGCACAGGGCCTCAGCAAACTCACAGGCTGCTGCAGAATGGGTGATAGTTTCTAGTGCATTACTGACTCTGAATCCTCATATTTCAAATCTATCATGGCCCCAAATGTTATTCTCTAGTTTCTGTTGGTACTTCATGGCTTCCTAAGGTTGTTGATGGCAGGAGGGTGAAAAGTCTCCCCTCATTTTCATGCTCACTGTGAAGCAGCCATCAGAGACATCCTTTCAGACAAAAAACCTGAAAAGCCTTCTCACTTCCTGATCCAGCGTGGATGGGGCACTTTATCCAAAATGTGGTTGACACGTAGTAGTAGGAACAAATTTAGTCATAAATTGAGCCAGGAAATTTTATAAAAGTTCAACAAATAAAGCATGAGAACTTAAGCATAACCAAAGTAACCATTTTGACTGATACCTTCCATACTCTAATCTCTAACAGAAACTGCTTGGAAAGGTAGCCAAACCAATGGATACTGACATCATCCTTTTATCAGTGAATGATGCTCTCATCTTTTTTAATGCTCTAACTTCTAGAAAATTGTTTCTTACAAGGTTTTTCACAGACTGTATGATGAATATATTAAAATAACCAACATTTACTTATGGCTTCTCTAAAACTGGAACTATTTGAAAACGGAAAATGAATTGTAATATTGAGCACTTTATAAAAAGTGGAAAATTAAAATCTCTGAATTGATGATGTCAGCTATCTGTGTTTGGTCAGTTATTCTAGAAGTAAGGAGAGATATGACATCAACACAGACTTATACCCGTTTGGCTTCAAGAGCTATATAATGTCTTTCTTCTCCTGTGTCACACTAACTACAGAGAGGTGGTCTGTCCCAGAAATTGTGCATAACTACTGATTTTCTTTGCCTGGTTATAATAGAGTTACAATACAAAGGAATAGACTTATCTTGGATTGTTCAATTACCTAACACCAGGAGAATGGTGTTTTGCTTCAAGATGGACATAAGATTTGGAACAAAATAAGTGAACATAATACTCTCAAGAGGAGAAATCAGGTGAACTATGTAGGGAGAGGGTCAAAGAAGATGAATTTCTATTAAATTATCTCTATTCTTCCTAGATATACAAGCTCATTGCTATTTGAAGGATATTTTGTGGGTAAATAGTATATTTTGCTTATTATAGATGTATAGTAATATAATGCATAATATAGAAAATTGTCATGTGTGCCTATATCTCTGATATATCAGAAGAGAACACTGGATGATGTTCAATTTTTGAAAAACAAGCATAAGTTTATAACACTTACAATTTCTGAATTTGCACCATTAAAAATAAGTAATTATTACTTTTGCAAAGGGAATAAATAAGACCATTCTGAACCAACCAATAATAAAACTTTTGGCTTAAAAACTCTCTTCTGAACTCTAATATTAAGAAGATTTCTTTCAACCACAGAGTATTATGATTAATCATCCAGCATGATCTGTTTCCTTAACAAATATTTACTGATCACTCACTAAGTGTCAAGTACTATCAACAAATTAATGAATTCAACCTCCCTTTATATCTTTGTCAAAATTAATCACTTATGTCAAATATTTTATCTTGATTTATATTACTTATGTTGGTAAATAAATTATTTTTTTTTAATTTCACAAATCTTGCATTTTGCAAGAGCTCCAGACTCAGTCAAGACATTATCAAGGCAAAAGACTTAATTTCAACAAATAAATATTTACTCACTTAAGAATAAATGCAGAAAGGAGACCCTAACTCATGATGTTTCTAGTCAATCTTTCCTGGTTAAGAAATTCAAACTTTAGCCAGAAAGGAAATGTACACACACACACACACACACACACACACACACACACACACACACACACACATCTGTGGTTAATATTTACATGTTCTTTTAAAAATCCTTATTTTTAAAATTAATTCTAGCTTTTAATTGTCACCTTGCCTAAATGCCCTCTCCACCTAGTCTACGCTCCTTTTCCTCCTTTAGGTCTCAGTTAAGGTCACCTCCTCAGTCAGGCCTCCATGACCATCCAATTCTGTTGCTTCTTTGCCCTTCTCTCCCCCCTAATCCCAGACACCACCCACTATACTGTTATTTTCTTTTATATCATTTATCCCAATTAATAATTACACAATGTCTACTTGTTTCCGTTCCCTGACAAAGGCTCTGTGCTTATTTATCTACTGATACACACTTAGTATTTAACATTGGTTGCAAGAAGGTAGTGCTCAATTTGAACTATGGGATGAATGAATGAATTCACCCCCTTTGGAGGCTCCAGCTTATTCCTCTTTCATGACATCTGCAGACTAAGTGCTAGGACCTGGTCTTGCTATACATATTCATAATTCATTGTGATTCGTGTACACTTTAAAGTCTACTCCTATGGAAAGAGAGAAGGGTAGACTTCCTAAAAAAACTACCTCTTCATTCCCCTAGGGGTTTTCGAGATAATGGAAATGACTTTCGTAAACTCAGCTCTTCTGTTGTACACATCACAAACCAAAGTTCAGGTACAGGGTAATTCCTGTTTTAAAGAAAAGTTCTCCTTAGCAGGAGGCTCTTTTGCAAAACACAACATTTCAGAAACCCCTGTATCCCCAAATCTGAAAGGGTTAAAGATGCTCTTCACCATTGAGAAAGCTGAATAAAAATCACTCCAGTGTTTCATAATATTAAAGCCATCTGAGTCGAAGGGGTACGGGAACTTCTTACCTGGAGTCCTTTCTGATTCTTGCCTTCTCAAAGGAAAATTCCGGGGGTTTGTTGAGGTCATAGGTTCGGGATGTTGGTTCAGCAGACACCCCAGCCTTTGCTCCCCTTCGGCTATGGAGGGAGACCAAGCCCGACGTCTTCCGGTGGATGTCCAGAGGCACTTTGTCTGGAGAGGCCTGAAGCAGGCTCCCTCCCTGGATATGCACCACATCCTGCAGCTTGTTCAGCTGGATGCACTTGTTCTGCAGCTCCTCCGTGAGCTCAGCGATGGCCACAGTCTGCTTTGACAGCTGCTCCCGCAGCTCCTTCAAATGGTACTCCTGCTCCTGGATCTCGGCATCCTTCTTCTTCAGCTCTTTCTCCAGCTCTGTCACCTTGCTCTGCAGGGCATCGATGGTGAGGTGTCCGGAGCGGCCATCTGGATGCTTGGAATGTTTGGGTTTCACGGAACCATTTCCCATTTTGCTCAAGGACCTGAGAGAGGACACAGAATTGGGAATTACCCAGTGGAGTTTGATAAAGTGAACTGGCATCTTAAGATGCTTAACCATAGAGTTGGGAGGACTATGGGTGGAGCTGGGCCCCTTGTTAACTTTATAATCCTGACTTCCTGTTCATCCTTATGGTAATTTCTGGGGGAGAGATCATAATAAAGGGATTAGCCATCTTGGAACCTGGGTCTTTTTTCCTGCACGTGGGCTGCTAGTTGGAGCCCCGAGTCAAAGGTATGCTTTCTCACACTGTGGCGGTGGTCTTGCTTCTTTTCTTTTCCCGAATAAACCTTTTCTTTTATGGATTACTGGGAGTGTTATTTTTCACCAGTCAACAAGTTTCACATCCCAACAGCCCCCATCACTCCTCTCATTCTGATCTGTTTCATAAAGAAAAGCATAGTGGGCGTCATTGCTGGATGAGTACTATATTCCCCACACTTCCAAAAGGAAAACTACTGATCCGTTTCCTTTATCCCTCCATCGAGGAGGAGTTGGCACTTGGTTTCACTGTTTCCTGGCCCTTTGCTGGCACAAATATCATACCTGAGCCTTTTGCACAAACGGCCTGTGTTACCTGCTGCTCTCTTTGGTCATTCTCTATGGACAGCTATCAAAAGCACCACAACAGGGCTGCGATTTGGATGTCAGCATAGCAAAGATAAAATGGAAGTGAGCAGCTACAGCCGCAGAGGCTTGGAAATGTCACAAATCTCACAGCTCCTGGTGCAGCGACACTAGGAAACCTTCCCAGCATTTGGAAAATAACACATCTGCATTCCTCAGGAGGAGGAGGCAGAGTTGGTGTTGCTTTTTTAGCACTTTTTCTCCTGCCATATGTACTGTTAAGTTTTGCATTTCTGATAATGCTCCCTGTTAAAAACTTCTGGATTGTGGTTACTACAAGGTAAAACAGAGGTACGGGGATTCTTCCACGTCCTTTACTTTATACATCCTAAAGCCAAGGTTGTCTAAATAATGATGACCTATGGTACAAGGCTCCATTCTTTTCCTGTTAAGCATATCCTCAGTGGAGGCACCAAAGCGCTCACTAATCCAGTGAGTCTCAGGATATGATACTCAAATCAGGATTATGAGGGATGGTTTTAGTTGATTCAGAAACACTTTTTTTAGTTTGATAGCTCTGTATTTATTTTAGCATTCATTAGAAATATCAATTATGGACACCACAAAATTGTGATTTCATTGATATTACTGCTTAAATGGAGGTTAAATTAGGTATTTAGGTTTACTGAGTCAATTCAATTTATTTATTGGAAAATAAATCAGGTGCAGATAATGAGCGCATATGAGCAAAATCCAAAAGAACTTGAAAGGGTAAAGTTGGGAAATGCCACTTTAATTATGATAAGTTGAAGTCTTTTTAGGCTATTTAAACTTTATACTTTTGTATGTGCAGTGTTTGACAGCTATAACCCAAGAAGCATATAACACTTACAAACTAAGTTTGAATTACCTCTCATTATCTAATACCAGAAGAGATACATGCAGCTTTGAAGTTAGATTAAGCCACCTATTCTTGCCCTTCTCTGCCTCCATGTTTCAACACAGAGAGAAATGAGATGCTCAGACTGATTTCACTAGCTCTACTGGAATAATCATGACCTCTACAACAAAGGTAAAGATGTAAAACAGCCTCTAAGTTTCAAACAGATGCAACCAAATAGCCAATGCAGTTTGCTTACGATGGATAGTACAAACAGAAAGTAAATGTACTTATAAAAGTAATCTTGCAGTACTCAGGTATTCTTCATAGAAGTCAGGTTCAAAGTGGTCATTAATAAACATTAGTGTCCAAATAATTGCCTCATATGTGCAAAGCTATGGCCTGTTTAACTTTTAAGTACCGGTTGACTAGGCAGTATTTACTCTTTTCAGATACTAAGAATATCTAAAAAGGTTGAGGAAACTAGAATTCAAAAAGGAGACTACAGAGGCAAGGGATTTCTGGTCAAGATGGCAGAGTAGGTGAATGCTGTGCTCACCTCCTCTCGGGACCACATCAATTACAACTAAACCACAGAATAACCACTATTGAGAATCTCCTGAAGTCTAGCTGAAACGAAGCCCTACAAGTATGGACATACAGAAGGAGCCACCTAGAGATGGGTAGGAGGGACACAGATGCAAAATGGGTTGCTCCCACACCCATGTGTGACCATTAAAAACTGGGAGGGATATCTTGGCTGAGGAGGTACCCTGAGGACTGAGGGGTCCCAGCCTCTCCCCAGCCTAGGGCTTCACTGCTGGGTAGAGAAGTCCCCATAAAGTCTAGCTATGAAAACCAGCAGAGATTGTAGCTGAGTGAAACAAAAAATGGCTGGAGTCCCAGAAATTCCTCTTAAAGGGACCACACATGGACTTACTCACTGAAGGACTCACTTGCTCTGAGCTCCAGTGTTGGGGCAGCAGCTCAAAAGGTTCCAGGGACATATGGGGAGGAACTGAGTTGTCTGGCTGCAATTTGAGGGCTGGAGGGGCAGCTTTCTCCCAGATGGAGGAGCTGGTGAAAGCCATTGCTTCTTTGTCGAGCCCTTCCCCTCCCTCTTCATGCAGACACAGGCAGACCCCATCTGAGTCTCCATCAAACTGGCTATCACCTTTTGTCTGCCCGCCCTAGTGATTCCCTGAGACCCTGCCACACCCTATTTATGGGCACACCCAAGCCTCTTCCAATGGCTTTTCCATATAAATGGCCTGCTTTGACTCATGCTGCAACATTCCTAAAGCCTCTCAAAGGTTCACAAAACCCAAACAAGCAGCATCTGCCTTCAGCATGTCACATACCTCTGGCTGAGCAGTCCTAAGCCTGGCACTAGCAACAGCTGGCCTTGGTTTGCAGCTTGGCCTCTCAAGGCACCTCCAAACACAGTGCAGGTGGTGGCAATCTCAGGATTGTTTGTGGCACATGCCAGGTAGCCCAGAACAGGGCACACTGCAGCTGAACTTGGCCTGCCACAGGTTCTCTTCCAGGAGGCCCCGGGGCTGTCAGCCACAGTGGCCAAATTTGGACTGGGCCAGAACATCAACCAGCCAACTCCAAAAATGACATACCCAAATGGGAGACTGTGCAGGCACCAGAGCCCCTTTAAAGCAAACCCTGCTTTATAGGGTCAGGCCCTGCACAACAGCTCCTCTACTGTAGTCACAGCCAGTCCTCACAACCAATCAGCCTGAGGGTCAACCCCTCCCACTGATGTACAAACTGCAATCAAGTCTCAACTCTATTAGGAGGGAACACACAACGCACACAAGGGACACATCTAGAGTACCCAGCTCTGATAACCAGGGAGACTGCACCACTGGGTCCCACAGGACACCTACTATATAAGTCCACTCTACTAAGACCAGGAGGCCTAGCAGCCTTACATAGGAACAAACACAGGGAGGCAGCCAAAATGGAGAGACAAAGAAACATGTCCCAAGTAAAAGAGCAAAACAAAGCTTCAGAAAAAGAACTAAAAAGTAGAGACAAGCAATCTACCACACACAGAGTTCCAAACACTGGTTATAAGGATGTTCAATAATCTCAGGGAGAACTTCAACAGAAAAATAGGAAGCATAAAATGGAGATAGAAAACATAAAAAAGAACCAGCCAGAAATAAAGAATACAATAACTGAAATGAAGAATACATTACAGGGAATCAATAGCAGATTAAATGAAGCAGATCAAATCAGCGATTTAGAAGATAAGGTAGTCGTAAACACCCAATCAGAACAGCAAAAAGACAAAAGAATCCTAAAAATTGAGGAGAGTTTAAGGGGTCTCTGGGACATCAAGCATACCAACATTCGCATCATAGGGGTACCAGAAGGAGAAGAGAGAGACAGCAAGGAATTGAAAACCTAGTTGAAGAAATAATGATAGAAAAGTTCCCTAACATGGCGAAGGAAATAGATATACAAGCTTAGGAAGCACAGAGTGTCTCAAACAAGATGAACCCAAAGAGGCCCCACCTAGACACATGATAATTAAAATGCCAAAGGTTAAATACAAACAGGGAATCTTAAAAGCAGCAAGAAAAAAGCAGTTAGTTACCTATAAGGGAGCTCCCATAAGACTGTCAGCTGATCCTCAACAGAAACTTTGCAGGCCAGAAGGGATTAGCATGAAATATTCAGAGTGATGAAAAGTAAGACCTACAATCAAGATTATTCTACCTAGCAAAGCTATCACTTAGAATCAAAGAACAGATAAAGAGCTTCCAAGACAAGAAAAAGCTAAAAGAGTTCATCACCACCAAACCAGTATTACAAGGAATGTTAGAGGGACTTCTTTAAAACCAAATATATATATTTGTTTATGTATATGTGTATATATATATATACATATATATATATATATGTGTATATATATGTATATGTATATATGTGTAGATATATGTATATGTATATACATATATATAAATATATTAATATATATTATTATATATTATTATATATAATACATAATATATAATATAATATAACATGTTTGTATATATTAATATATGATATAACGTAATATTAATAAAATGGCAATAACTACATAAACATCAACAATTACTTTCAATGTAAATGGATTAAATGTTCCAATCAAATTATATAGTGCCTGAATGGATAAGAAAACAAGGCCCTTACATATGCTGCCTATAGGAGACCCACTTCAGATCAAAAGACACACAGAGACACTGAAAGTAAAGGAATGGGGAAAAGATATTTCATGAAAATGGAAACAAACAAACAAACAAAAAGTTGTGGTAACAATACCTATACCAGACAAAATAGACTTTAAAACAAAGGCTATAACAAGTGAGAAAAGAAGCCAGCAATCCCACTTCTGGGTAATTATCTGAAGAAACCTAAAAAGCTACAGCATTGTTTACAATGGCCAAGATGTGGAGGCAGCCTGGGTGTCCATCAATGGAAGAATGGATAAAGAGGAGGTGGTACATATATACAATGGAATATCACTCGGCCAT